TTATTGAGTGCATCATCACAGATCGAGTGGATTATTGAGTGCGTTATCACAGATCGAGTGGATTATTGAGCGCGTTATCACAGATCGAGTGGATTATTGAGTGCATTATCACAGATCGAGTGGATTATTGAGTGCGTTATCACAGATCGAGTGGATTATTGAGTGCATTATCCCAGATCGAGTGGATTATTGAGTGCATTATCACAGATCGAGTGGATTATTCAGTGCATTATCACAGATCGAGTGGATTATTCAGTGCATTATCACAGATCGAGTGGATTATTGAGTGCGTTATCACAGATCGAGTGGATTATTGAGTGCATTATCACAGATCGAGTGGATTATTGAGTGCATTATCACAGATCGAGTGGATTATTGAGTGCGTTATCACAGATCGAGTGGATTATTGAGTGCGTTATCACAGATCGAGTGGATTATTGAGTGCATTATCACAGATCGAGTGGATTATTGAGTGCATTATCACAGATCGAGTGGATTATTGAGTGCGTTATCACAGATCGAGTGGATTATTGAGTGCGTTATCACAGATCGAGTGGATTATTGAGTGCATTATCACAGATCGAGTGGATTATTGAGTGCATTATCACAGATCGAGTGGATTATTGAGTGCATTATCACAGATCGAGTGGATTATTGAGTGCATTATCACAGATCGAGCGGATTATTGAGTGCGTTATCCCAGATCGAGCGGATTATTGAGTGCGTTATCCCAGATCGAGTGGATTATTGAGCGCATTATCCCAGATCGAGTGGATTATTGAGCGCGTTATCACAGATCGAGTGGATTATTGAGTGCATTATCACAGATCGAGTGGATTATTGAGTGCATTATCACAGATCGAGTGGATTATTGAGCGCATCATCACAGATCGAGTGGATTATTGAGTGCATTATCACAGATCGAGTGGATTATTGAGTGCGTTATCACAGATCGAGTGGATTATTCAGTGCATTATCACAGATCGAGTGGATTATTGAGTGAATTATCACAGATCGAGTGGATTATTGAGTGCGTTATCACAGATCGAGTGGATTATTGAGCGCATTATCACAGATCGAGTGGATTATTGAGCGCATTATCACAGATCGAGTGGATTATTGAGTGCATCATCACAGATCGAGTGGATTATTGAGTGCATCATCACAGATCGAGTGGATTATTGAGTGCATTATCACAGATCGAGTGGATTATTGAGTGCATTATCACAGATCGAGTGGATTATTCAGTGCATTATCACAGATCGAGTGGATTATTGAGCGCATTATCAAAGATCGAGTGGATTATTGAGTGCATTATCACAGATCGAGTGGATTATTGAGTGCATTATCACAGATCGAGTGGATTATTCAGTGCATTATCACAGATCGAGTGGATTATTGCGCTGGGCAAAAAAAAAAGATTTTTCATTTAATCGTTGTGGGCGATTCAAAATAGGTTCTCAAAGGCCACGAATCGATTTTTTTTTTTTCATATTTATTTATCTATCACCCAAAAGCCAGTGTTAGTGTTCCTCCACTGCCTCCATGTTACAGTGAATACTGGGAGATTTTATCTCTGTTTTATCTTAAACATAAAATAACCGGATCCTGTTTGATCAAGGCATGCAACTGCAATTTTCAGCATCAATTTTTCATCTTGCATCAAAATCCTGTCTATTCATCGTATGCATTTGAAATATAGAGTTGGCTTCTGTTTTAATGTACCCAAGTGTATCTAAAATAAAAAGAGTTTAATATACAGGTTTGTGGCTCTTAATTTCTTATTAATAATTAATCACTTGTAAAGTTATGTTCACACAAATTCTGACAGAATTGCGTGATATCAGGTTACAATTGCATGTTATAAAGTAAGAATTGCATGTTATAAAGTAAGAATTGCGTGTTATAAAGTCAGAATTGAGTTATAAAGTCAGAATTGTGTGTTATAAAGTCAAGTCAGAATTGTGTGTTATAAAGTCAGAATTGTGTTATAAAGTCAGAATCGTGTTATAAAGTCAGAATTGTGTGTTATAAAGTCAGAATCGTGTATAATAAAGTCAGAATTGATTGTGTTATAAAGTCAGAATTGATTGTGTTATAAAGTTAGAATTGATTGTGTTATAAAGTCAGAATTGATTGTGTTATAAAGTCAGAATTGATTGTGTTATAAAGTCAGAATTGTGTGTTATAAAGTCAGAATTGTGAGTTATAAAGTCAGAATTGATTGTGTTATAAAGTCAGAATTGTGAGTTTTAAAGTCAGAATTGTGTGTTATAAAGTCAGAATTGATTGTGTTATAAAGTCAGAATTGATTGTGTTATAAAGTCAGAATTGATTGTGTTATAAAGTCAGAATTGATTGTGTTATAAAGTCAGAATTGATTGTGTTATAAAGTCAGAATTGATTGTGTTATAAAGTCAGAATTGATTGTGTTATAAAGTCAGAATTGATTGTGTTATAAAGTCAGTATTGATTGTGTTATAAAGTCAGAATTGTGTGTTATAAAGTCAGAATTGTGAGTTATAAAGTCAGAATTGTGTGTTATAAAGTCAGAATTGTGTGTTATAAAGTCAGAATTGTGTGTTATAAAGTCAGAATTGTGTTATAAAGTCAGAATTGTGTGTTATAAAGTCAGAATTGTGTGATATAAAGTCAGAATCGTGTTATAAAGTCAGAATTGTGTTATAAAGTCAGAATTGTGTGTTATAAAGTCAGAATCGTGTTATAAAGTCAGAATTGTGTTATAAAGTCAGAATTGTGAGTTATAAAGTCAGAATTGTGTTATAAAGTCAGAATTGTGTGTTATAAAGTCAGAATCGTGTTATAAAGTCAGAATTGTGAGTTATAAAGTCAGAATTGTGTTATAAAGTCAGAATTGCGTTATAAAGTCAGAATTGTGTTATAAAGTCAGAATTGTGTGTTATAAAGTCAGAATTGCGTGTTATAAAGTCAGAATTGTGTTATAAAGTCAGAATTGCGTTATAAAGTCAGAATTGTGTTATAAAGTCAGAATTGTGTGTTATAAAGTCAGAATCGTGTTATAAAGTCAGAATCGTGTTATAAAGTCAGAATTGTGAGTTATAAAGTCAGAATTGTGAGTTATAAAGTCAGAATTGTGTTATAAAGTCAGAATCGTGTGTTATAAAGTCAGAATCGTGTGTTATAAAGTCAGAATTGTGTTATAAAGTCAGAATTGCGTTATAAAGTCAGAATTGTGCGTTATAAAGTCAGGATTGTGCGTTATAAAGTCAGAATTGTGTGTTATAAAGTCAGAATTGCGTGTTATAAAGTCAGAATTGTGTTATAAAGTCAGAATTGCGTTATAAAGTCAGAATTTTGTGTTATAAAGTGAGAATCGTGTGTTATAAAGTCAGAATTGTGTTATAAAGTCAGAATTGTGTGTTATAAAGTCAGAATTGCGTGTTATAAAGTCAGAATTGTGTTATAAAGTCAGAATTGCGTTATAAAGTCAGAATTGTGTTATAAAGTCAGAATTGTGTGTTATAAAGTCAGAATCGTGTTATAAAGTCAGAATTGTGAGTTATAAAGTCAGAATTGTGAGTTATAAAGTCAGAATTGTGTTATAAAGTCAGAATCGTGTGTTATAAAGTCAGAATCGTGTTATAAAGTCAGAATTGTGTTATAAAGTCAGAATCGTGTGTTATAAAGTCAGAATCGTGTTATAAAGTCAGAATTGTGTGTTATAAAGTCAGAATCGTGTGTTATAAAGTCAGAATTGTGTTATAAAGTCAGAATTGTGTTATAAAGTCAGAATTGCGTTATAAAGTCAGAATTGTGCGTTATAAAGTCAGGATTGTGCGTTATAAACTCAGAATTGTGTTATAAAGTCAGAATTGTGTGATATAAAGTGAGAATCGTGTGTTATAAAGTCAGAATTGTGTGTTATAAAGTCAGAATTGTGTGTTATAAAGTCAGAATTGCGTTATAAAGTCGCAATTGAGTTATAAAGTCAGAATTGCGTGATTTAGTTGCAATCTTGTGTTATAAAGTCGCAATTGTGTTATAAAGTCAGAATTGCGTGATTTAGTTGCAATCTTGTGTTATAAAGTCGCAATTGTGTTATAAAGTCAGAATTGTGTTATAAAGTCAGAATTGCGTTATAAAGTCAGAATTGTGCGTTATAAAGTCAGGATTGTGCGTTATAAAGTCAGAATTGTGTTATAAAGTCAGAATTTTGTGTTATAAAGTGAGAATCGTGTGTTATAAAGTCAGAATTGTGTGTTATAAAGTCAGAATTGTGTGTTATAAAGTCAGAATTGCGTTATAAAGTCGCAATTGTGTTATAAAGTCAGAATTGCGTGATTTAGTTGCAATCTTGTGTTATAAAGTCGCAATTGTGTTATAAAGTCAGAATTGCGTGATTTAGTTGCAATCTTGTGTTATAAAGTCGCAATTGTGTTATAAAGTCAGAATTGTGTTATAAAGTCAGAATTGTGAGTTATAAAGTCAGAATTGCGTGTTATAAAGTCAGAATTGTGTTATAAAGTCAGAATTGTGTTATAAAGTCAGAATTGCGTTATAAAGTCAGAATCGTGTGTTATAAAGTCAGAATTGCGTTATAAACTCAGAATAGTGTTATAAAGTCAGAATTTTGTGTTATAAAGTGAGAATCGTGTTATAAAGTCAGAATTGTGTGTTATAAAGTCAGAATTGTGTGTTATAAAGTCAGAATTGCGTTATAAAAGTCGCAATTGTGTTATAAAGTCAGAATTGCGTGATTTAGTTGCAATCTTGTGTTATAAAGTTGAAATTGCAAGAATAAGTCAGAATTGCGTGACAAACTCGCAATTGCGAGAAATAGTCAGAATTGTGAGTTTATATCAAGCAATTCTGACTTTTTCTTGCAATTCTGATTTTGTAACACACAATTGCGACTAAATCACACACTTCTGACTTTATATCACACACTTCTGCCTCATGTACAATGGCAGACATTTGTTGCTGTTAGTGCGGCAGAAATGCCCCTGTCCTCCACTCACCTGAGCAGGGCTCTTGTAGCTGCTGGGAATCCTCCTCACGGCCATGGCCCCGAGAGCACACATGAACGCGGAGGAGAAGAGGATGACGCTGAACACCAGGAGCCAGGGCAGAGAGCAGAGGTAACACGAGCCGCCGGCCGAGGTGCACACCAGCACATGAAGAGCGGATCCCAGCACACACAGCAGACAGAAAGGCAGCGAGAGCAGAGACGAGGCCAGTGGGACGTCCACCACCGCATCCCTGCTCAGCGCCTCCGGCATCGCCAGCACCAGCAGGAGCAGCACCTGAGAAACACAGGCCGTGTTTACTAATGCTGGGGACTAGGGGACGACTACACGCATATATCAAACACGCACACCTATAGAATGGTGTCGTGTTAGCGGCCCCTAAGTTAAGTAAGGGTTAATGCCTGATGAGGTGTCCATTGTCTAGGTATTAATGGACGACGGCGAGGCTATATCACCGATATCGTGATGTGACATTGTTTTATCATGTAAAAACGTATCCCGGTGTTATCGTGGACGGTATGATATGGCACACCCCTACTGGGCACTAGGGCTGTCACTTTTGTGAAAAAATCCTATTCGACTTTTGAGACGTAAGTGTTCATTGAATCGATTTTCCATGTCTAAAGACGTTTCCATTTTCAACACCAAATACAGGCGAATCCACGGACACCTAACAGGCATTAGGACGAGTGTAAAGAGGGCTTGGGACGCACAAGTCAGCAATATTCCTGATGATTTATTGGCGTGAAGTTTCAGCACAATGACAAACAGGAGCGCAACATTTAGGGATTGAGATTAACTCCCTCGACCCGCCAAATGCGGGTAAAAATGAACTTTGGCGGGAAACGCTGTCAAATCACGAGCCAATCTGGCGTTTCTGTGTTTACTCACTTTCTTTGCTGGGGAAGTTCGTGTAAGACAAATCTGCGCGGATTTAGCGGATTTGATCCTCATGATATATTAATACAGCGTATTGCAGAATCTGCGCATTTCTGGCTCACTTGAACACACACACACACACACACGTCACTACGCTACAAATAACGGCGCGCTTGTTCACTTGCATTGAAGCAATAGCGAATATTAAAAAGCATTTGGTGAACAGAAAAGACATTGCATCCTACATGTTCTGTGTCCTGTATTGATCTGTCGACATAAAACACATTTTTGGTAAAAAAAAAAAAAAGGCCGTTAAAATCGATTCCCTATTTTCGTTTTCGAAACTTGTGTTGGTTGGTCCGATCGATTGTGCACTTGATTTTCGGACTTAAAAAGTGACAGCCCTACTGGGTACACACCACAAGAGAATCAGGCTGACTCTAGGGCGATTTCTCCCCTTCCGGCAATCCTAGGTAATGTCCGGATAATCTTGATGGTTCTACAGATTATCTGATCAGGTGGTGTGAGGTGTGTTAAAGGGATAGTTCACTTTGAAGTAAATTTTTGGTATGTTTTAGCTTACCTCAAGGGCATCCAAGCTGTAGGTGTCTTTGTTTCCGCAGTAGTTTCAATTTTGATATTTTTAGGTCAAACCGTTCTTGTCTGTCAGTCATATAATGCAGGTCTATGGTCACCACCTCAAAGAGCATGCACAGAGAAGTCCAAATTAAACATGATTTAATGACTCGTAAATGTAAGTACACATTGATGGCCTAAGACACGAAACGAGCGGTTTGTGTGAGAAAACGAACAGTATTTATATCGTTTTTACCTCTTGTAAACACAGCCACGTCCGAGTGATCTGAGGGCGCCGGCGCGTCGGTCTGTGCGTTACAAGAGGTAAAAACGATATAAATACTGTTAGTTTTCTCACACAAACCGCTCGTTTCGTGTGTTAGGCCATCAATGTGTACTTACATTTACGAGTCATTAAATCATGTTTAATTTGGACTTCTCTGTGCTGCTCTTTGAGGTGGTGACCATAGACCTGCATTATATGACTGACAGACAAGAACGGTTTGACCTAAAAATATCAAAATTGAAACTACTGCGGAAACAAAGACACCTACATCTTGGATGCCCTTGAGGTAAGCTAAAGCATACCAAAAATTAATTTCAAAGTGAACTATCCCTTTAAGAGTGACTGAATCTGCTCTGGAGATTATCACGTGAAACGAAACAATATCCAATCAGAAAGCAATCTAAGAGAAGACGGACGGATAGCAAACGGCGCAGCACAACATTAAAAGGATTTGAACAGCAGAGATGGAGGAGGAACAGGACTCACTAAAGGAGCAAAACGGTTAAATCGAGGATTTTTTGTCCTCATGTTTGTGGTCTCTCACATTTTGAAAATCTTATGAGATTTATCTTTGAGTGTGTACCCAGCATTAAAGGGCTCATCGGATGCCCATTTACCACAAGTTGGTGTGATTCTTTAGCGTCTTCATGTAAAGTTTGTAACATACTTTGGATAAAATTCCTCAATGATTATGTAAAACAACACCTTTTATACTCCTCTAAAACAGCTCTGTTCACAGCGACCCGTTTCGGTGCATGTCTCTTTAAATGATAATGATAATGAAGTCCTGGGACGTCTGACACACTCTTTTCAACATACTGTGCTTTGGGACACACTTCTTCTAATCCCACACACTGTTTAGGATGGATAGTGTAAACATTGAGACGCAGGGAGAGAGCTTTTAGATTACACACAGGACGGGCTCTGTTTATATTAGCATCTGTCTTGGGTGATGCCATCACAAACGCTCATTCGAGACCGATAGCGGCTGGTATTAAAGATGCTGCAAGTGATTTTCAGGGAATATCTATCGAGTGAATTATGTGCCATAATTAAACAAACAAATCCAGCATTTTGCAAACAAACTCGATCTGCTTTGCAAAGGAAAACTCGACTCACGAACAAACAGAAAGGTGCAAATACAAAGGTCAATTTGAGCGGAAATGCAGTAATAGTTTTTGATGTAGTAATAAAGAACTTCAAGTGAGCTTTAAGTAATGAATGAAAAGCAAAGTTAAATCCCCATATATATATATATATATATATATATATATACATATATATACAGGTGAAACTCGAAAAATTTGAATATGGTGCAAAAGTTCATTTATTTCAGTAATTCAACTTAAAAGGTGAAACTAATATATTATATAGACTCATTACATGCAAAGTGAGATATTTCAAGCCTTTATTTGTTATAATTGTGATGATTATGGATTACAGCTTATGAAAACCCCAAAGTCAAAAGTAGAATATTGTGAAAAGGTTTTCATAAGCTGTAATCCATAATCATCAAAATTATAACAAATAAAGGCTTGAAATATCTCACTTTGCATGTAATGAGTCTATATAATATATTAGTTTCACCTTTTAAGTTGAATTACTGAAATAAATGAACTTTTGCACCATATGCACATTTTTTGAGTTTCACCTGTATATAAATTTTTTTTATGGCTCAACAACCATAAAAAGAAAACGGTTTTGAAAAACGAAAAAAAATGTATAAACGGTTTTGAAAAATGAAAAAAAAAAAAGGCTCAAAAACCGTAAATGATCCGAACCGTGAATTTTGTGATCCGTTCCACCACTAAGCGTGTGTTTCACAGCACCGAGGCTTATGGGAAATTAATGTTGGGGTTTGTCTCCAGCGACATCACGACATGCATTCATAAACAACCCTAAAGACAGACTCGTTTTTGACTCAGGAACACAAGTGTCAGAAGGAAGTCTCAATCAGCTTTTTTCAACTGCGATGACTCACGAATATCTCAAGCTCTGGGAGATAAAAGGGGCTTTAAAGGACGACACACACTGATGTGTCCTTGCCTCTGACTCCCAACAATACACCGCCAGTCAAACACACTCGCTCTCTTCTCGTCCCCCATCATCCGCTTCGGCTGTCTTCGCTGACTTCTCCACGGGATCTTACATTTGCGCTGTGAAAAAGTGACATAAAAAAACAAAACCTCAAGAAAGTTCTCTCTCAGAAGTCGAGCTCGGAGGGTCAGAACACGCGCCGTTAATATTCAACCGAGAAAAGACACACACTGCCGATCGTCTGAGATAAGAGCTTGTGGAAACTACATTTAGCAGGAGGCCGGAATACACGACAGAGAGATAATCCAGCTGAAAGAAACTGCACAAATATAGGGAACATTTATGTAAAAACTGTGAAATATTATTATATGTGTATATACAGGTGAAACTCGAAAAATTAGAATATCGTGCAAAAGTTAATTTATTTCAGTAATTGAACTTAAAAGGTAAAACTAATATATTATATAGACTCATTACATGCAAAATGGGATATTTCAAGCAGCCTTTATTTGTTATAATTTTGATGATTATGGATTACAGCTTATGAAAATCCCAAAATGAAAATTAGAATATTGTGAAAAGGTTCACCATTACAATCATCAAAATTATAACAAATAAAGGCTTGAAATATCTCACTTTGCGTGTAATGAGTCTATATAATATATTAGTTTCACCTTTTAAGTTCAATAACTGAAATAAATTAACTTTTGCACGATATTCTAATTTTTCGAGTTTCACCTGTAAAGTGTAATTTATTCCTGTGATCAAAGCTAAAATACTCCAGTCTTCAGTGTCATATGATCCTTCAGAAATCACTCTAATATGATGATTTGATGCTCAATAAGCATTTATGATAATTATCAATGTTGAAAACGGTTGTGCTGCTTCATATTTTTGTGGAAACTGATACATTTTTTATTTGATTAATAAGAAATTATTTATTTGAAACAGAAATATTTGTACCATTATAAATCTCTTTTGATCAGATTAATGCATCCTTTCATTTTTCATTGTTAGTTCATGTTGCATTATTGCATTATTGTTATTCTAAAGAATTACTTTGATGTTTGTCTCGAAGGAAACAGAAGTGTTTAACTGAGCTAACCGTGTTTGTTCCAGGAGTTTGGACAGGACGAGTCGTCCCCGAGGAGGTCAGAGAGATTTGTTTCACAGCTGTACCTTGTGTTTTTCAATCCCGTCCGAATTGAACACGTGTGTGTTTTTCTCACACAGCGAGTGTAAAGATTACAGAGCGCCAGTAATTGCCCAGTGTTTCTGAACCCTCTGGAGTCCTCCAACGCGGCTCAGAAAGGAATAGATGTTGTGGTTCTTCTCCACAACTCTCTCCTCGTTTATTTTGACCTTTGTTTTGTCCAACAGCTAAAGCTAATTGGTGCACTTCATTACGGCGTGGACCTTTTGCCAGCGTGCCGAGTGAAGCTGGCACATCGCTTGTGCGATTGATCAAGCGCGTAAACTCAGATTCTTGTGGTCAGCA